AAAAAATAGTGGCCATTACAATGGCCAGAAGTGACTTTTCAAAGGGGTCTAAGGGGTGAAAAAAACAGAGTTAAAGTGAAATGAAAAATTATTATAACCTCCTCACTAGCCTAAAAGTATGAATAAATATTCAAAAGTTGTGAAAATTAAATTTTTCCGAAACGCGACGGAATTTCCGAAAGTTATCCGGACGCTGTTTAAAGCAACCAGGTTTGCAGTTTTTAAGATAAAGTCAAAAAATTGTTTATAGATTTTTCAAAACTATTTTAGTCACTTAGGATCTGAGAATCTCGTGCCATCATTGTTGGTTTACAAATGTCCGTAAACCAAAGAATAAAATATTGCACTAACCTTTGCTTTCTTGTTACCCTCTCTTTCTTCTTGTACTACGTCACTGAGCTGCAATAGAGAGAGAATTCATAGTCAGATGTCAAGCTATGTTGTCACAAAATGTCCAGATGACATGCCATTGGATATCATGCTGCCATGTCCTGGGATGTTGAGATGCCATGTCATAGGATGTCAAGATGCCATGTCATGGGATGTCAAGATACCATGTCATGTCATAGGATGTCAAGATGCCATGTCATGGGATGTCAAGATGCCATCATAGGATGTCAAGATGCCATGTCATGGGATGTCAAGATGCCATGTCATAGGATGTCAAGATGCCATGTCATGTCATAGGATGCCAAGATGCCATGTCATGTCATAGGATGCCAAGATACCATGTCATGTCATAGGATGTCAAGATACCATGTCATGTCATAGGATGTCAAGATGCCATGTCATGGGATGTCAAGATGCCATATCATAGGATTTAAAGCTTCCATTGTCATAAGATGTCACATGAAAGGGTCTAGCTTCCATGTTATAATGTGTAAGCGCCATGTCATTAATGTAAAGTTATGAAGTTAATATGTTCTCATCCGTGACATGTGTTGATATAAGCGTATAGTGCGAGTACCTCCCTCATCAGACAATGTTTGCGAGCGACCCTACCTTATCAACACTGAGATGAAGAGACTGACATTCCTCCTTCTTTGCAGCCATAGCAGCTGAAACTTCTTGGAGCTACATGAATGAACAAATACATCATGGATAAGGATGATATTCAGTCATATTATTTTCACAAAACAAGCAGCCTATTGGCTGAGATACATGTAGCTCCGCTGTTAGCAATGCACATTTCAATTAAAGAACTGAAGACATCATTAGAAAATGAACAATATGTATAGTATCAAAGCAATCAAACTTACAGTTTTTAACAAAAAGTCGAAAATATCACTTTTTACCGAAAATTACAAAAATATTCACCAAAATTAGAGAATTGAAGATATCATCACGAAATGAACAAATCTGAGAGAGGTCCACATGTAGTACCTATATATGTAATATCAAAGCAATCGGACTTGCGGTTTTTAACAAGAAGTCGAAAATATCACTTTTTACCAAAAATGACAAAAATATTCACCAAAATTGAATTGAAGATATCAACATGAAATGAACAAACCAAAGAGAGGTCTACCCAAGGTACATATACACCAAGTATCAAAGCATTCAGGCTTGTAGTTTTTAAGAAGAAGTCGAAAAAGTAAAACATTGACACGGACGACGACGGACAATCACTCATATGATAAGCTCCGCTCGACAAAGTCGACAGCAGAGCTAAAAAGTGATATGTACAAATATACATGTAAGCTTTCAGTTCCAGATAAAAAAATCAAATTTCAGCATATCCAAATTTGCCAACTCCCTTACATGTATATGTTTGTTTTAGTTCAATTTTAAAACTTAAGGTTGTGAAAAAAAGGTTTCTGGTCAATTTCTTTCAAAATTAATGCATGTTTGCAATGATTCACCATCTAAAAAAACAAAAACAATTGTAGCAATTTGATTTTTGGTCATGCTTGCTGTGCTTTAGAGATATTTGGCCAGACTTTACAAATTTGTCTTCATTCAATGAATCAATGATTCTTAGCAGGTCCTATTCATTTGTAAACTGGACTCAAATCGTTAAATGTGACTTTAAAATAAAAATGTGTGTTTGTAAATGTATGAAAGTACTGGTATAATTTTGCTGATAAGTATAACCCGATAACTCAAACCTACATGAGAACTACAGTTAGTACTCAATGGTCTCCTGACAAATTCATGAACTTAAAAAAAAAACAATCATGCCATGTGTTGGCATTTCAGTAGATGACAAGTCGGTGGCATCACAATCGCAAACTGGGTGCAAATACATGTCATAAACAGTTTTAGCGATCTTCAGAGCTCATAACTGTCAACCAATTTTAGGGAAAACATTGCAAAATTTGTCACAAAACAACAAATACTGGAGGTATCATCTCAGGAGAGCATCTATTGTCATGAGTGGACGTGCATACAGTAATGCATAAATTATATCATAACATACCTCCATTCTGAGTTTTTCGATTTCTTGATCAGATTCCTTTATTGTTTGACTGAGTTGCCTTTCTAGTTGTGCTGTCAGTTGTTCATTCTCACTATTCTTATCCCTCAGGTTCATCATCTCAATTGCTTGATCTGCATAAGTCTTAATAAAATGCAGAAAGTAAACACATTTAGTAGCTGAAGATCACTCTTCATGTTTTGCACTCAATTAGGCCGAACATGAAAAATTAAGATCTGCACAAGACCAACAAAAATAAAAAAAATATCAATAGTCAGCATATGCATATGCTGACCTTCGCTAATTTTGAGTGTCGGTTGGGGCCGGCCACCGCCGACCAGTGTGGCGAAATCCCTGGCATAAGTTCAAAAGGGTTTGATATGACTTCTTTTTTCAAGTTTTTGTCAATATAGCATAACTGTTACAACCTGACCTATTGGAAATCTAGACTAAAGTGAGGGGAGTCATGACATGCACATGCGGCAGATAATCATAGCGTGTTGTTGATTATATACAAGTGTTTACCCATGAGTCTTTGCATTTTAATTGTTATCATTGCTTAGGACTAAATTCCCACTCAGGTGCAGCAAAAGACCCTTCCAATTTAAATAGATGGGTCAATGAATGAATGGATACAAATTAATGATGCAAATCTTTTTTTGGCATCCAAAATCCTGAAAAGAATGCTATGACTAATCTTAAGAATTGTGTCAGTGAATTAAAAGATGTGATGTACTGCAATAAGCTAAAACTAAATCCTGAAAAAATATATATTTTAGTTTTTGGCATCCTTCAGCAAATTAAGAAATTAAATTTGATTTCCCTCAAAGTTGACAATACTTTAATTTCTCTTCACTGGCTTTCAGTAAAAGATCGTATTGTATATAAATGAATGCTGTTAGTATACAAAGCCCTCAACGGCCAGTCCCCCAAATGTATTACCGAAATGTTCAATCCACATGTGACACTCTTGTACACACAGGTCATCTTCAAACTTACTTACTGTATGTCCTTTGCGAGTATGAAATTAGTTACATAAGGTTATGTTGGCTTAGTAAATTAAAATATTAAAAGTACATCACAGTGAGCAATACAAGTGTACCATGCAGTAGTCTCAGAAACTCACCTTCAGCTGTTGTTGGTACTGCATAGTTTCAGTACTCAGTTGAAAACTCAGTGCTGATACTTCACTCTCCATCATAGCCTTTAAGTTAGTGATCTCTGCTTGCAGTTCCACAACCTTCTCCTCTTTTACCATCATAATCTCATCCCTTTCATCCAGCTGTTTCTGCAAGTAATTCTTTGTAATCTGAACATTGTCCCTCTCCAGAGTTATTGCATTCACATTGCAAATAAGTTCATCCATCTCTTTTGTAAGACTTGAGATTTTATCCGCAGCCTCCACACTACTTTGCTCCAACTTTTCTTGCACCTCTTCCCTTTCTGTAACCAGCAAATCATATGCTTCATTGATGCGTGAGATTTCCATATTCAAGTGCTTATTTTTATCATTAATTTCATTTTTCTCCTTCAGCAACAAATCATACTGATCTTTCAGGTCTTTGAGCTCCTTCGATTTGATTTTCACTTCATTTTTCAGATCATCCTGTATCGATTTGAACTGCTCTTTCAGGAACTCTTCTTTATCTTCGTGCTCTTTCATCATCTGCTGTTTTCGTTCCTCAAAAACTTGTTCCTGTGATGAGTCATCTTTATGGATTTTTCTCAAATCATCTAATGTACTTTGCGTTTGTCTCAAACTTTCTCGGTCTCTTTCAAGTGCGGACTCAAATTCTCGCACCTTCTCATCAGAGCAGAGTTTATCCCTTGATATTCTCTCGATCTCAGTTTTAGAGTTTTCAAGCTCAATTTCCATGTTTTTTAGTTTGTCTTTCAAATCATCATTATCATTCACCATCATGATATTGTTATCTCTGAGGTCATTCATCCCTTTTTCTAGACTTTCCTCCTTCAGCATTAACTCCACAGTTTCTGCATCTTTAACAGTTATCTTCTCTGCAACATCGTGCTCAATTTCTCTCAGCATATCCTGAAGCTGACGGTTCTCTTTCTGTATATGATCCACCTCTTCTCTAGTCTCAGATAAATGTCTCTCAACTTCTTCTTTCTCAGTCAGTAACTTTTCAAAATCAATCTCTCTCTGCGACATAACTTTCCTTAGCTCCTCTACGTCTATCATCAGCTTTTGATGATCATCGTCCTTTTTTACAAACTTGACCTTTGCATCTTCTAGCTCTTGTGTCTTATTCTCAAAAGCAGACTGCAATGTCACTTGTTCATTTTCTAACTTACTAATGTAGGTTTTCAAATCTGCGAGCTGCAGTTGTAATCCTCTGACTTCCATTTCGTGTTTTACAGTTTTCTGTTGAAGTTCAGAAACCAGAGTCTCTTGTTCAGTACTTCTATTATCTAGATGTTTCAGTCTATCCTCCATTTTCCGCCTTCCTTCAACAAACCCCAAAATCTTCTCACCAAATATTTTATTGTTGTCCGACACATTTCTTGTCAAATTTTGCATTTGTTCATAGGTCCCATCCACACAATCAACAAGCTCTCTCAGTTCAGAAAGTTCAGTTTTCACATGTTCAAGTTTTTCATTTTTCTTAACTAACTGCACTTGTGTTTTCTCTGCAACACTTTTCATAAGCACAATACCACTGTCTGTTTCATCAAATCGTGTTTGCAATGTTGAGTTCTCAATTTTCAGTGTCCGCAGCTCATCCCTTAAATTTTCACATGTGTTTATTAGTTCACATTTTCTTTCCTCCAATTCTTGTATCTTTACTACAAGTTTGTCTTTTTCTGAGGCCCTTTCACTTTCTATCAGTTCCAATTTATTTGTCAATTTGGAAACTCTGATGTTCAAATCTTCTTGAACTTTTTTTGCATCCATTGTTTTTTTCTGATTGTCATTTTGCCTCGATAATAACTCCTCATTAAGTTTACTCACATTTACTCGTAGAGAGTCTACCTCACTCGAGTGCATATGTAAATCGCTTTGCTGTTTTTCTACCTGTTCCTTCAAGAGTTCATTTTCCTGCGACAAAGCAAGTTTTGTTTTCTCAAACTTTGCAAGTTTTGATTTACAAATTTCTTCTGTTGTGGACGATGCTTTCTGAAGTTCTTCCAATTCGCATTGTAAATGTTCACAATTATTGCTATATGTTTTCTCATTTTCTTCAAGTTTCAATTTAAGGCTTTGAACTTTCCTATGAAGTTCATCATTTTCACCTTTCAGTGAGATATTTAATGTTTCGGTTTCTGTCATTTTATTGAGCAGTTCATGTACTTTATTTGAACTATCAAAATGATCAGAAGCTTTGCTATCTTTATCATCAACATAACCTTCCATTTTATCAATCAGCTCAACACATTTTGATTCCATGATCTGTAGCTTTCCTTCCAAATCCTGAATATGTTCCTTTTTCTGCATATTGGCAGTTTGTTTTGACAACAGTTCCTGCTGCAGTGATTTCAGCTCAATTCTAAGCTCAGCAGAACAAGCCTCTGAACTTTTCAATTGCTGCCTTAAATCATGTTCCCCGGCAGAAAAGACTTTCTCTCTACTCTCGTGCTGCTTATTCAAGCAATCAATTCTCACATACAGTTCATTGTTAGTTTTCTCTGCATCCTCCAGACGACTTATCAGCTTCTTTTCTTCTTCGTCCCATGTCTTACCTTTTGTTTCAAGTTCAGTTGTCACTATGGAAGCCTTATACTCCAAATCCTGTATTTTTCTCTGCAGCTGGTTCGTCACATCAGATAAACGCGTCTCAGTATCCAGAGCAAGTTTTTTCATCTCGTCCTTATCTATTTGAAGCTGATCAATTTCCTGTCTCAGCTGTTCAATAGTGATCTGTTGCTGATCCACCTCAATCTGTAGCTCTGTGTACTTTTCTTCTGACACACTCAATTTTGTTGTGATCCGCGGGCTGCCAGGCGCGAAAGAATCATTCGGCTGAAATTAAAATAAACAAAGAACAATATGAAAAATTTGTCAGTGAAACATGAAAGGACAAATGAATTTAAAAGTGTTATTAACCAGAGAAAAAATAGAATTTCATTAGAGTATTACGCATGAGTTTGTTAATAAATCGCCTGCTAAATCTGCCATGGACAGTCGAAATGAAAGGAAAAGTGGGTCAGTGGGTGATGTATTGCACGCTTTAAATAGATCATGGATTGCCACAGTTTATCACATAGTGCCATGTTTGCATAAAAGTATAGAATGTGTATAAAATACATTGTTTGTTTACATGAAAGTCAAGTGAGTGCTATCCAACAAATGTGACGCTTTAATTAGTTATATAGCATTAGAACACCTCACTAAGGAAACTCAGTAACATTGTATCCTCAATTACAGGACAGTTATGATAAATATAATGCTAATTCGTCACTAATTCAGGTGCTATTACAGATAGAAGGTAGAAGTCTAATAATAAATGAAAATATCCTGAATTTTTCCATTTCACAATAAATTGACTTGGGGGGGGGGGGGGTCACAAGTATATTTTTGGAGTAAGAGTATTAACAATATTTTCAGTGGGTTTTTAATGAGGAAATTCATTTTCATTTTGATTTATGGAAACTGCTACTAAAATGGCATTTTATTCATACTATTTTCCTGTTTTTTTCTCAAAAAACAAATTGACAGTGAACCACAGAAGTTTGAATACTTATACTAAAACAATTAATTATAGAAAAATTATGACACAAATATTGTCACTGCTAAAATATGCACACATGTCAACAACTCATTCTACCGCAGCAGCAAATTAATTGCAATATCAAAATTGAATCAAATAGTTGTTTACTTTACCTGGGATGTTAGACTAGTTAGACTGCTCACACTAGATGATCTACTTGGTGGCTGCCATAATCCGTACGCTGGAATTCCAAAAGATTTCCTGACATAATCCAATAAATAAAGTATGTGTTACAGAATAAATAACAGAAAGTAAACAATAGAAACAATTATGTGGCAATTGAGGGCGCTATACAGTTTAGGCCTCTATTGACTTGTAGAACAATAATAAAAACATAGTTGAACTCTGGTGACCTTGCCCTTTGTTATATAATATAATTCCCTTTATCATAGTTTGTTTCAATATAAAAATGCATTGTCATAATTAATTTTGAATACAAACAAGTTTTGGGGTTGAACCAACAGTGGGGAATCAGTCTACCGAATGTCCTTAAAAGATGTAAGTATCTTACAAAAACATTGGTGCCTTATTTGTTTAATTATTTTAAGGAACATAATTTCCAGCTTTATTGAAAGTAATTGAGATATTTTAGAATAAAAACAAATGTCTCATTGCAAAAAAAAAGTGCTGCATTTAGATGTGAATAGATTCATAAAACATGCAAGATAACAGAAAAATTTAGCTGGCTTTAGTCCAAGTATTTTGTACAGGTGTCTGTCAAAAATGAATGATTCACTGAGACAAATATGAACTGCCTCATTGTGTGACTACTGTATTATATGAAAAGTAAAAAAACCACCCTTTATGAATAGCTATCATGTTGCAAGCTCT